CCATGGTGGCAAAAATGTGCTGATGTCTTCAAATTTGCACCGGTGTTGGAAGAAATTTGGTTAAAGTGTCCTCCGAACTTGGTTCCCGACCTTCCATGGACCCAGATTCTACGCTTTCGGTTGAAACCCACGCATAATTCGGGGAGCACTCTATCATTTCTCAATAAAATGTCGAATCTCACATCCTGTATCCTGGATGATACTGCGCCTCACGCAATGGAAACCTCACTACAGTTTGCACCACCGTCTTATCGCGTCAAGTTACACTCATTGCAATCACTTACCTTCAATATCTTCAATAATCTGGAACCTGACATGCAACGCGGTATTTATCAGGTGTTAGGATGGATTTCTGCTCCAGCTCTTGAAAGCCTCGATTTCAGTGGCGTTGAACTTGACCAAGACTTCTTAGACGCTTTTGCATGGTCCATGCAAAATTCGTGTTCCTCGAGTCGACTCAAAAAGTTCCGACTTGCAACTCGGCGCTCATCCCCAGCATTGCTCGTCAATTTCCTCCAAATCCTTCCTCCCACTGTCACACACCTATCTTTGAAATTCAACACTAAATATTACGATGCTGGGCACAGTGGGAACGTAATATTTCAGGCCCTGCGTATTCGGTCCCCGGAAACCTCGTCATATGTTCTCCTCCCTCATCTCGAGACTTTGTACGTCCATACGAACGGATACTCAGCTAATCTCCTCGACATGCTCGAGTCCCGGCTGCGATCCAATTTAAACTTAAACTTCAACTCAACCGTGGCAGACCCCGCGAGTGATAGTACAAATATCCTTCCCTTGAAACACTGCACCATCAAAGGCCGCGATGCCGTAGGCGGAAATCTGATATCCGCAACACAGGCGAATGCATTGAGGGCTGGTGGATTACACCTTGAAATCGTGTTGCATCCCCTCCCGGGCCCATTGGATTCCGAGAGTCTGATTATTTCAGACGTTCGTGGTTTTTGAAAGTGTTCTTTTTCTTCTGAATGGATTCTTGCTTGTGCAGGCCCAAGTAGATCGGACCTGATTGGGCTCTCGTCACCTCTCACCTGGTAGGTATATCTTTGGTAATTCTTCTTGGCATTCATCATTACTAGCTATCTACTATCTATATTTCTTGGTTGCCTGGCACATCACGGATTGTTCATTTGTATAGCTCGAAGTACATAAATCACTGCGCTTTGAACGAACTTGGTGCTTCTTTCCGGTTTCACATGGACATTGTAATTTTGAGAACTATGGTCATCTGGCATTTAGCGTTCAAAATCGGACCTTTCAGTGTCGGACGGCCCAGGACGGCCCTCGTGTCGCATTTTGCGTCAAATGTTGTCCTGACCTTGCCTTGAACATATCAGCGGAGACCATCACACATCAGACACTTGCAACCATATCGGTGTTCCAAAACAATTACTATAATACTAACTACGTCCTATTTGATTCAATCAAATCTACGGTTTACGATGTATGTGGGACAATATTCTTGCGATGCTTTTTCTGCACCCCCCACTGAATTCCCCATAGTAAGCTGTTTATTTGGGCGAGGTGATACCGGGAGCATAAGTTGTACTAGTACAAATAAATGCTAAGTAGTACTCCCAGAGGCACATGTTCTTGGACTTAGCTTCACCGTTGAGGTATTTTCAATTTCCAATTTGAAGGGTCGTGGTTTCAAAGGTTTATTATCATTGCTAGTGCCTTTCCTTGATTCAACAGCAAAATTTTTTTGTATTGAGTAGTCAGCTCTTGCCAAAAGAGGGCCCTCGACTTTCAACCTTGCGGGGGTTGTTCCAGGGAGACATTGCGTCATACCATTCATGGGGCTTCGGTGTTAGCAATGGCAGGGCTCACAACTGGAGTCTGGTGATTGACGGTTTTTTGCCTCGTTGGATCCTCGTTATATACCACAATCTTTGGAAGAAAAATCATGTTAGATCACGAACATTTCACAAGCCCAAAAAATACTCTACTTGTTCTGGTTACAAGGTTTTGATCAATTCCGTTGAAAAATGGTGAATTTTTTTTTTTTTTGTTCTCGGTCCGAACCCTAATTTGATGTCGACCCAGGGTTCTGTGTGTTGAAAAAGTTAAAATCGCCTCCAACCCAGAGATGTTGTTCAATACTTTCTTTTTTTTAGTTCGCTACCCTGGCACCCTTGGCATCACGAGTTATCTATCACCTTATCCAATCCCCCCCCCCCTCCCAAATTCTATTCTTCCCAAGTTCCTATCACGACCCCAGTAAGTGGTTCAACCACCCCTCCGATAGTAAGTAGCCTTAGTAAGGTTCCACATTCCGCATTCCGCATTCCGACAATCTGAGAAAATTTCGTGAGATGAGTGCTCAGCGGGTCTGGGGAGAGTACCAGAGTACCACTCTCACACTTAGGTCAAAGACGCAAACACCCAACGTCAACGCCACACAACCACACCACAACCCAATACCACCCATGAACAGACCAATAACATACATTCAAGACCTATACCTATACCCAGTTATTCACGGTTTTACATATATAACATGTCCCTCGGAAATCTTTATACACTATACACAGATATCAACACGATACGGAAATGCGCGTCCATCGACTCTCAATAACCGGAACCCCAGTACCCATTCCCCCCCCCACCCCAAAGCCTGAGACTAAAACCCCCCAGCCCCCCTAACCCTCTGCACCGCCCCCACCACCCCCCTCGCCCACGAGAACCTCCCGGGGTCGACCCCAATCGCACCCTCAACCATCTCCCCAGTAACCGGATCATGCCAGCACCCGTCTACCATAGACACCTTCCCATACACCTCGGTATTCTGATTCCTCCTAATACCCTCCATCCACGTCCTACACACCTCCGGGGAGTCGAGGAGGATGTTGATCTCCTGTGAATGGAACCAGGTCTGGGTGTCTTGGTTGCCGTTGCCTTGCATGGCGAGGTGGGAGTCGATGATGAGGAGTTTTACTAGAGTGTGGAGTGGAGGGGGGTGGGGTGAGTGTTGACTTTGAGGAATACAGAGGAAGGGGAATACAGAGAGGGGGAATACAGAGAAGGGGAATAAAGAGCCGGAGGGGAAACTCACTATGACAACTCCTCTTCTTAAACTTATTATGTATGGGTCTATCCTGGTCTTTTGCGACGTAATTGTATATCTTCAACCGAGATTTTTCTTCCTCTGTGAGTGGGAGTGATTCTGCGGAGTCTATCTGTGGGTGAGTAGCGTCGGCATCGGCATCGTCGTCTTCGTCGTTGGATGTAGGCTGCAAAAGCCCCGGATCGTTATACAACCTATTCGCAATCATCTCGTTCGTCCCATTCTGATACGGCAACAACTCTCCCTAAACACCAAACGTCAGAACAAATACATATATATCTCAGCTCGAAGCTCGAAGCACCCACCGCATCATTATACCCCAAACACACCCACACCTCCACCTCCACCCCCCTCCTCACCGCCCCCACCAACTCCGGCAACAGCGGCTCCGCGTTCAAATTCGGCGTCTGGATGAATATCCTCTCCTTCGCTCCCCTTACCGCTTCGAGGAACGCCACATTCTGCGGATACCGCACGGCATGGGGGACGGAGAACGTGGGAGTGCCTAGCGGGGCGCGGGAAGCTATAAGCATTGGGATAGGGGTGGGGATTTGGGGACCGGGGAAGGCAGATGGGGGAAGTGGGATGTATGGGGTCATTTCGGCGAACGGGACTAGGGAGTCTGATGGAGGTTCCGGAGCGGTGGGTTGCACACCGCCGTCGGCTTTCTGGGCGGGGGTGACGTTGAAGTGGCGGGAGACGGCTTGGAGATGGGTTTCGCCGGGTTTGGGAGCGTAGGAGGCTTGGATCCTGCGGATCTCACCTGCGATGGTGGCGTCGTAATGTGGGTCCCCTGGGAGGTGTTCCGGGAGATCGAGGGACTCGTGTCCGGCTTGGACGACGGAAGGGAGGGAAACGGATTCGGTTGTAGAGTCCTCCGTGAACAGGGCGAGGAACTCCGGATCAGCGTACGACGGCAACGGTTTCCCCGACGCCGGAGTATCCCTACACGGAAGCGGTGGCTCAAGCGTCGTACTCCACGATGCCAAACACACATCATACAGCGAATCCACAACTGGTCCTTCCAGCCTCACACACATCTCCAGGTTATCGTTATCCTGGATATTGTTCGACATCAACAACGCCACCTCGCGGTCGACGACCATGAATTTCGAATGAAACGTCCCTACGAGGGGGACGTGGTAGTTCACCACCTGCATCTCGATATTCGGGATCTCCTCCGGCGCAGGGAGGTTCACTTTCGGTCCAGTATACGTCGCAGGGGGAACATGCTGATGATGGGTAATCGCTTGTTTCACGTTTCCTCTATCATACAACATCTTCACCACCACCTTCTCTCCTCCCCCACGTTCTCCGACTCTGCGATTGAGTTCCCTGAAAGCATCAGTGACAAGCCTCGACGTATCGCTGTTAATCCAGAAATTCGTAGCAAGAAACACCTCCTTCTGCGCACGCACGATGCAGTTCGACATGTGTTTCACAATATCCGGAAGAGGCGCGATGATAGTGAGTGGAACGACGCCGGACGTCGCAATGAGCGGGGGCGACACCATCCCGGCTAACGCATCCCCCGACGCTGCGAGGTTCCGGAGTATCGATTCGTAGATGGATCGAAACAGGGGACTGGGAGTCGTAGCTCCAAAATTGCCTTGAACAGAAGAAGGCTGGTCTGGAGATTGCGTGATATGCTCATACAATCGCTTGGCGATCTTTCCCGGTTCTTCCGTAGGATCCCGTGCGTATTCGCTGCTGATCGTCGTTTGGGACTGGGCTAGCTCGTAGATCGAAGGATGCGTCATTGTGACTTTGGTTGGAAGGAGAGAAAAATCAAGCGCTTGTTATATCCCATGTTCGTGATGACATCAGTCGCTTTTAAAAATAGCTTTATTAGCGTCGTCATCCACAACGCGCGAACATCCACTTGATTTCTTCTATTCCCCTCAAATAATAATCCGATATGGTGTAGTGGCTAACATTATCGCCTCTCATCAATCCACGAAGCGTAACTGAAAGCGCGATAGCCCGGGGTTCGATTCCTCGTGTCGGAATCCAGGCGTAAGGAGGAGCTTTTTTGGTGTTGCGAATATTTTCGAAAGAGTAAATAAGATAGGATGCTGATTTAAAGCTATGACATACACATGCTGCGGCGCGCCTGCTTTGTGTCTATAAGAAGTTCCAAGCAGAAAAGTCAAGGTATGGTATTGATATCCATGCGAATGTACAAAATGCGACTTTAAACTTCCGATGAAAGAGAGGAAATGATACCAAAGAAGGAAAGAAAAAAAAAATTCCATAAAAATATAAAAACACCTCAATCAAACACCCCAACCAACCACCCAACCCACCACATCACCGTCCCCACCTGCATCACCACCACCACCCCCTCCCCAACCACCGCCATCCACTGCACCAAAATCCCTCCCCAAAACACCGGAATCACCACCCCCCACCTCACCCACCTCAATCCCCCCTCCTCCAACCACCCCTCCAGCCTGTAATTCCCCACACACCCCACCGCCGTCCGCGCTTGCACCACCAGCACACCCACCGACAGCACGAAAAACCCCAACAGGCCCAGCCAGTGCCGGAAGGAACGCCCGGGAAGACGGGGGAGAGGGTACCGCTTGGCTTCGCCCGTGAATTCGTTCCGGTACAGCGGGATGATCAGGAAATCCTGCACGTCGTCCCCGATCAGTTTACCGTAGCTTCGCCAGAAGGGAGTCACGGAGTCGAGGATGAAGGTGAGAGCGTCCATCCCGATGTCCCAGAGGTGTTGGTATTGGTCTTTATAGCTTTCCTCCAGAGCGACGATTTGTGAGAGCTACAGTGTAAGATAACAATCATTTTAAAAAAACTCCCTTCCTGTTGAAAAAAAACCCACCTCGGGATAAACAACACTCGTATGCGCCAACGTACCATTATACTCCTTCTTAACCTCCGCATGCACCACCTGTGTCTCTCTCAACATCTCCAACACCTCTTTCTCCCGCTCAACAACTCCCATTCTGTGTTTCTCCAATGTCTTCAACGTCCTCATCAAGTCCTCGATAGGGGATTTGAGGATATCTTGGGTTGCTGACCTATCGGGACCGCTGTCCTTATCTTTATCCTTATCCTTATCCTTATTAGTATTAGTATTATGCTCTAAAAACTCTGCAAACACCGCCCTCTGCCTGGTCAGCCGATGATGGATATCGTCCACCGCGCGATAGGTCTTCAGTCTCTTCGTCGAACTCGTCACGTTCGCCGGGTCGTGGCTGAATGCTTCGAAAAGGTCCGGTGAGATAGCCGTGTATCCGAACCCTCCTCTTCCTCCTCCTCCGGCGCCTGTATGGCTTTCTCCCGCGATAAAACTAGCTTGACACATCTCATACTCACGCATGTGTTGCGCAATGTGGTTGAGCACGGACCGGATGTGGGCGTTGGAGTCCTTGCATGAGGCGACGAGTCTAAACGAGAGGTTCGGTTTAGTTGAGTGTTGAGTGTTGAGTGTGAGCCACAGGGTGTCAAGGAACACAACGCGAATAAATGTTCCCAGAAAGGAAATAAGAAAAAAACAAGAACAAGAACAAGATGGGAATGAAATGAAAAAGGAAAGTGGAAAGAGGGATGAAAAAGGAAAGTGGAAAGGAAAAGGGAATGACAGAAGGAACGAAAAGAACATGAGAAAAAAAACGAACACAGGAAAGGAAAGGAAAACAGAAAAGGAAAGGAAAACCGAAAACAGCAATGCGAAGGGGAAAAGAGAAAGGGGAAAGGGGGAAACCCAAAACCCAAAAAGGAAACAAGAAAGAAAGAAAAATCCAAATCCGAATCCGAAAATCGAAAAATCGAAAAATCAAAAATCAAAGAAGAACAAGCAAAACGTACTGTGCCTTCAACTCATACTCCATATCTTCCCTCGCCTCATCCGCTTCTTGTTTCCGTTTTCGTGCCATCGCTAACGTTATCCGCTCTTCTTCAGTTATCGGTAACGAGTTTCTATTTCGGAGCGACCGCAGAGGGCGGAGGTGGTTATGGGTGTTTGGGGTTGTGGTTGTCCGGGATGTGGTATTGGGAATAAGGTTCGAACCGACAGCATTTGGAGAAGCAGTCGCACGAACAAGGTTCATACCAAGAGATGAACCCGGACTTACGACGCCTGAATCACCCGGAGTAGAAGTGGTAGACGGACCAGGAAAAGCGGTTTCCGGTTCCTCAGATTCCACATGGACGAACGACTCCTCCCTTCTATCCCCCCCATGGTCACTTTGATCCGTAGCCGAATTCCTCGCGGACGATCCATACCCGTTCCCGTCATCGCTCTCATTGGCATTCGCCGCAGCAGCAGCAGCAGCCGTCGCTGCCGTCGTCGTCGTCGTCGACGATCTGGGTTTTCGCAACCCGAAACTATCTCGAATGTGTAGTCGGCTTCGGCTGCTTGCGGGGGAGGAGAATCCTGCGCCGCCTGGAGCGGGGGTGTTGGCGTTGGTACCGCCGCTACCACCACCACCACCACCTCCTGCTCCTCCTGCTCCTCCTCCTCCGGAGCTGAATATACTACTAAACGTCGATTCGAAACTCCGTCGTGATTCATTCGAGGGATGATTCATGAAAGACGGGGGATCGAGTAGAGGTTCGAAGGAGATCCGACCGTGTTGCGGCGACGGTGGAGATGTAGATGAGTTGTTGTTATCGTTGTTATCGTTGTTGTTCAAAAGTGTGTAAGGAGAATAGTGAGTGTGAGCGTGGGCGTAGGGAGTGTGAGTATGAGCGTAAGGAGTGCGGGGTGTGTACGGGGCAGAACGGGATTGTTGGGATTGAGCAGGAGCAGAATGTGTGGAATAGATTGAAGGAGGGGAATAATTCGAATATACGGAAGGGGGGGAATATGCGGAATATGCGGAAGGAGTGGAATACCCAGAAGGTATGAACGCGGGTAATAAGTCATTGAGACTCCCGGTACCTCCCCCTCCTCCGTCATATGGAGGCGATGGCGTATTAGTACCCAAAGCGTAATCTTTGCCGAAATCATGGGTATGGGTAGTAGAATCCGGAGACGAGGGATGTTCGGGTATGGAACGCATGGAACGAGCAGCGTAGGGAGTCGAGTTTGTGGATTTAGGCGGAGGATGAAGATGGGGGATGTTTCGTACGGGAAAAGCAGGGAAGTGGGAATGATTCTTGGCGCTTTGAGCGAGGATGTATTCTTCCATGATCAAAGCAGATAAATGCCACGGCAGTCGAGTGGTAGTGGTGGTAGTAGCAGCAGTAGGATCTTCTTTGACATGGTCTTCCTCCTCTCCTGGTTTATCTTTATTACCTTCCTCCCCTTTCGGTTGTTTGAGATTCCGCTTCTTCTCGAGATGCTTTAACCAGATGAACGGTTCCGCCTTTTCCAACGATGAACGCACGAGAGGATCTTGCGCAGAGTACCATTTGGATACTTTGAGGAGGTTGAGCTCCTTGATATCGGTCTCGGAAGCAGAAGAAGCAGAAGCAGAAGCAGTGGTAGTAGTGATATCAGATTGGTGGTTGGGTAGTAGAGTCGAGCCAGGGGTTAAGAGGGAAGAATATATCAAGTTATACCGTCGACCGATTTGATCCGCTGTGATAGCGACCTTCTTGCTCGTAGATTGGGATGAAGCAGATTTTATCCGAGAAAGCTTAGCTGGCAAACGAAAGAAAAGAAAAGGGTCAACAGGGAGAAACGGAGGTGGGTTTGAATTGAACACCGCACCGACATACAATCCTTCCAAGCTCTTCAAATCTTCCGCACTTGGTAACAATTCCCTTTCCCTTTCCTTATCCTTTTCCTTCTCCTTGCCCCTCCTCGACACGCTCAATGACCACCTCTTTTCACTTTTCTCAGCTTTCTCACTCTTCTCGTCTTCGGAGCCGTACCCGTGTACTAAGCCCGAACCTGACCAATCTAACGTTTCACCACCGTCGTTCGAGAGGGGTATGGGGTGCAGGCGTCGATGAGGATCGACCCGGACCCGGACGACGGAAGGGCCGGTGGATGGACTGAAGTCGATATCTGTTGTGGAGGGTGCGGTGAGAGTCGAAATAGCGGAGGCTGTAGGTGCGGAGGGGGTGGTTGTAGACGAAGCAGCCAACGGAGCAGAAGGAGTAACGTCTGTTGTTGTGACGGGTGTAGGACTCGTACTAGAAGAAAAGACACTGGATCTCAGAGGAGAGGATGGCCTATTCGTGGTCAGAGATCCTGGAACAGGAGCGGGAACAGGACCATCAAGTTGTCCAGATTTTCTTCGAGCCTCACGTCTGTGCTTCAGCTTTAACGCACGCTGAACGTCTTGTAGGATTCTTGGATCTATGCGTAAATCATTGGTATGATTTAATTGGTAATCATCGAGGATAATGACCTGCCTTCATGAGCTGAACAATATCAATACAAGGCTTGAGCTTGAATGTGAATATCATTGAGAGCAACTACGCACATAAGTCATACTCGTCAGAGAACGTACCCATTCCCCATCCCGAATCTGCCGAAGAAGAATCTGGTTGGCTTTCTTTACTATCTGTCGATTCCAAAGAAGCCACACGGCGTCCAGAGGTCCCCGTTGCACCCATGCTCATTGTAGGCATTCTCCTACCCATACCCATACCACTCGTTCCGAGTCCGCTCCTAGTACTTCTCAGTGAACCATACGGGTTCCCAGCATCGACGGAAACGACTCTCCGTCGAGCACTCGTATTGGTATCCTTCGAGCTTCCTGCTATGGCATTATTAATATTTAGGCTCGTCTTAACATTCGCTCTGCTGATGGTGTTTGGAAGCTGGGCGTTGATATGAGGCTGAGTGTTGATATTAGGATTTGGGAAATGTATCCGGGTAGGATGAGGATGGGAAGGAAAAGTCGGATTGGCGGAGGTCGAATTGTTAGGCTTGTTTGGGTTGCTGGGGTTACTTGGTCCTGCTTCTTCAGAAGATTCTTGCATCCGAGGACGTTGCAAGGACAAGTCGCGGGAGGTATTCTGGAGGTATTAAGTGAAAGAAGGTAATTGTGATTTATTTGGCGCCCGTGGCGCTCAAAGTAGTCATGTC